ATCATGCTTTTCTCTTAAAAGATCAGTAATTAAGATACAAGATCAGGCCAGGGAGATGGCTCAGTGGAATAAGCGCTTCCCTAGCAAGTGCAAGAACCTGAGTTCAATCCCCAGTTCTGCCAAAAAAAAAAGATACAAGATCAGTTTTTACTAACTGGAAGAAAATACATTCAGAAATACTAACAATGAGTAGATAAACTATAAGGCTATAGGAGCTGGACAACAGTCCAGACTTAAGTAACATCAAACAAGTCTTACTTTTCAGAAAAAAGTAACGCAATTCCCAATTTAGTACTACCAGGAACATAAGTAACAGCATTTAAACATAATGTGTGATGTAGTTATTAAATCTCTTGGAGACAACCATGTCTATTTTTGAACCACATACTGAGTTAACTATAAAATTCACAAACATTATTTAGTAATATACAATTACTACTACACAGCAATAAAAAAGAACTATTTCTACACACAAAATGCACAAATCTCACAAACAATGTTTAACAAAAGCCAGACACAAAACAGTACACACTGTACTCATTCTATTATGTAAAATTCAAGGACAGCAGCTTCCTCGGGCAAGTCCGAGCAGAGGCTCCCTTTGGAAGAAAGGGACAAGGACACACAGAGTGTCTGAAGCAACACTGGCATGCTTTTGTATCAACACATGAAAATCCAGCAAAACACAAATGATCTATACACTGTAATGCATGTATACCTAGGTTAAAAGGCTTTTTAAATACCCTTTTTTTGAGTTTCATTGTTCAAATTGTCCTCTAGCTATATGCATGAAAATAAAAAGTATGCTCTCAACTTACCTCCCCCATTAACTCCTTCACAACAGGCACCACTCCATTATCTTTGGTGAAGCCTTGGTATGACATATTTCTGGCTGCTCTTTGCGTGCTGATGAAAATATCACCATTCACTGTCTCAAACCCAATGTACTTCATGTCAGGACGAACCCAACAGTTTGTCTGACCAAACATTGTCTCGGGTCTGAGAGTAGCAGCAACTAAGAAGATATTTTTACCTTTGAGGCCACTAAAAAGAAGAGGTACATATTTATGTTTTCAAAAAAAGTTGCAGATTTCCTCCCAAGTATCTGATAATTCATAAATGATGAAAAAATTCTTTGGCAAACCTACCTCAGTTTAGAAGGATATGGCTCAAGCACTTTCAACTTCAGTAAAGTATATTCCTGAGGTCCCACACCCTGCACAAAAAAAAAAAAAATACTAAGAGAAAAAAGACTTGGAATTAAGCCTATTAGAAATTACATGTAAAATTTGATTCAAATTTCTAATTTAGGCATCGGGTGTGGTGGTACACAATTGTAATCTCAACTGAGAAGGCTAAGGCAGGAGGACTGAGGATCAACACCAATTCAAGGCCTGCCTAAACTATATAATAAAACAATGTACCTACCAATCAATCAATCAATCAATCAACAACCTGCTATGGTATGCTGATCATATCCACATGAAGGTTAGTGTACAAAGAAGTCATCCAGTCATCAGCCTAAATGTTACTCATCAAAATAGGAGAAAACACAACTTCAACCCTTAGCCCGAGGATGGGTACCAAAGTGCAGTCATCACAGACACCCTCAAACAGGTATCAGATGATATGCTTTCTAAACTAGACTGGACCCTTACTAATAGCTTGATCCAATCTAATACTGAGCAGTGTCTCACAAAAGACTGCAAAGGAGGGCTGGTGAGATGGCTCAGTGGTCTAAAGCACCTACTTAAAACAAGCTTAGCAAAGCACACGGACAACGGTTCAATCCCCCAGCACCAGATGCCAACCAGCCCCGCCCCCTGGTGGGCTGAGCTGGCCACACACACACACACACACACACACACACA